CTTCATCCTGTAACAGACTGGCCCCCTTGCTGCTCCAAAAACAAGCCAATTATACATCTGCCTCAGGGCCTTTTACACTTGTTCTCTCTGGCTCAAATACTCTTCCCAGATCATTACCTGGCTTGCTCCCTCACCACTATCATCAAGCAAGAGTTATCACATCCATTTTATAGATAAGGAAAGCAAAGCTTGAGAAAGTTCTGTACCCTTGGTCAAACAGCAAGCAAATGGCAGAGAGAGGATTGAGAACATTATGTTAGGGTCGTAGGACTGGACCTAATTGCTGTTTTCTTCTTTCTGCTTGTCCTTTCAACTAAGTCTCTTCTCTTATATGCTCAGAAAGGAAAATCAAAGATATGCTAAATCTTTATTCCTGAACCAACCATGACAAACTATTTTATTAACACATGTGCCCACAAACAATGTGACATTATCAATCATATTTGAAGAAACCAAAGAAAAGCAAAATAAAGGTTTCTTATTACTCTTACCTTTTCCAAGCTGACCGGAAGCTCAGGAACCTCTCCTAACCCTCCACCTACTAAAGGTTTCTGAGCTACGATAACTCCAAATGTAGGCAAACAGGAGAAGTCAGAGCTTCCTTCGTATATAAATTTCATATCTTTTGGCTCCTTCACCGATGCTCCCACGCCAAGGGCATACATAATAGTTTCCAGCTCCGTGTAAGCAGAAGAAAATGGAGGGAATTTATAGCCAATGGCTCCAGCCTATGAGACAGGTATACGAAAGTGTTTTTTCAATGATATTTTTGTCAAATCCTTAACATTTTAACTTTTTCAAAACTATTAACTGCTTACGTACCTGGTTTTTGCTTTTGAAGACAGGTGAATAGAATGTCATGTTGGTGAATTTCATGGAGTGTCGTAATTGTTTCATTAGATTTTATTTTAATAGAAACCAGTTAGAAAGTGTGTGGGAAAGGACTTCATTTACAGATAAGAACTTTTTTTATAATTTGCTTCTTACTAACAGTATGTCTCATTTTCAAATTTCCTATCTCTGATGGTGAGAAGCCCTATTAATTCAGCAACTATTACAAACTCAAAAATACAAGAAAATAATAATAATAATGAATAGGTCATAAGTAGCGATAGTGAATCGCCCTACAGGAGCTACTGTATAAAATTAAATGTAAAAAGAGCAAAACGCTGCTTAATGCTTGTAAATTAGATGGCCTCAGAATGGTTTTAGTTAAAATGAAATTTTACCTTAAGTTCCTGGCTGGGAATGTCCCTCATCAAACTGGATATTGTATTTTTCTACTTAGTGATGATATGTCTTGCTAATGTGTGAAGTTGATACTGGGCTAAAAAGCAATGATGTCCGATTGTCAATCACTTTTATTCCAAAACAGGAGTCCACAAACAAGGGCTGAGAGCTAAGAATGGTTTTTACATTCTTAAAGATTGGTTTAAAAAAAAGAAAAACAGGAAGAACATGTGACCAGGAAGGGTAGGTGATCCACAAAGCCTAAAACATCTACTATCTGGCCCTTTCCCAGAAAAGTTTGCCAACCCCTATTCTAGGATAAAGTCATATTTATAACCCAATCATATTCTCAGGGTTAAAATTAGATTGTTAACATTATCACTCTATCTGCCCTGAGTCACAAAACACCAAAACCAAATGCATCAAATGATTTATTTCTCACTATTTATGCACTACATTTTTTTGTTTAAAGGCGACAGTAAATCAGCAAACTTCACATGAGCTATAACCACTATTCCATCAGAATTTCTACACAGTCGGAGGTCCTTTATTTGCAGCAATGTTGAAATAGTTCCAAAATACAATCTATCAATGCTTTCCCTAAAAAAAAAATGACTCAAAAGAGGCACTTAAATAGATATCCTTTTCTAAAAAGTTAGAAAAAACAGTAACTACAGTAGAATTATCAACACTACCAAAAAAAAAAAAAAAAGACACTTGTGTAATTATACTGAAGAAAAGAAAGTAAAAGTTACATAAGGCTACATCTTAGCCTCATGTTCATTCAAATTCTATAAATATTTAGTACATATTTTAAGAAAAGTCTTGTCACTTATCTTTCCTATTTAACAATGGACTAATAGCTTGGAAAATAACATTTTTGTATGAGAGAAAAGAGAAAAAGGAAAAAAAAAGAAAAAAGAAAGAAAAGAGAGGATCTCAAGAAAAGGCACAGCTTTTAGGCTTTTCTCCCCAACTTACAAATCCTGATGGTGCTGTCGATGCTGCGTGACTCATATGATTTGTCGAAACTCCTCCATCTGAATCGATTTTACTTATAACTCCAATTATACTGCCAACTGATTCTAAACAGTAATAACAACAAGGATGCTTCTGTTACAAGACATAACTAAGAAAAGTGACAACGTGCTCAATAATCATTCCTCTAACAGTGAGCAAGCCTGCCACAGGACCTTCACAGGCACTCATGAACTGAATATATGAGGTAGGACTATTAAAGGAAGAAGCTGTGAAAGACTCCAAAATAGACCAAAGATCACTGGGTGTTGTCAATGGCAAACACGCCATTGTCCAACATACTCTTCCTGGGTTTTGATTCCAAAGAGGCACTGAGCTTTGCAATGTCTTTGATCAATTTTACAGCTCTGTAAAGTGGGACCCTTGTCCAGAGACATGCAATTTTTGGTGAAGGAAAAACAAATTTCCCTTTCTCGCCATCATCACCCCTCCTCCAGGATGGAACAATGCCAAGATTATCCTCCGAACCCCCCACCCACGTCTCAAGTGATAGCTCTGAAGTCGGTACTAAAAATTTGTCCAGAGAAAACCATCATTACGAACAGAGACTTCAGACAGGGTTCAGAAGCTACTGTTCTGGGGTCTAAAAGGTTAATAAAGGAGACTCATGGGGCTGCCACATATGCCAGAAGATTCCAAGGACTCTGAGACCTAACAAACCTGACAGGTACAGGCCTCTTTCTAACCTTGGACACAATCTATAAGCAAACCACAAACTGTGGTGTGACCAGGGATATCAGCCAGCTTCTTGCCTCCGAATCCTCCCCTCACCGCCCCACTAAGAATGCTGCCAGAAGGAGGCTTTTAACTGAAAGTTACCTTGCTATGGGCTCAAAGGACACACGGAGACACGGGCAACCTGAGTTAATGTGGCTCAAACACTGAGAAAGCCTGGGCCAGTTACGGCACTTTTCTGGGATTTAGTTCCATTATCTGTAAGCCATGATCAGTTCTACAGAAAAATGTGACATGTTTCTTCTAACTCTACTTCTAACACTCAGAGGTATATTTTCATTTAGAATTACGTAATTCATTTAGCTTTTTCTTTAGAATACTTTTAAGGCAATACAGTGGAACTTGGACATCAGAGGAAAGTTTTTAATGTACTTCTTTCTTTTTCCTTTCATTCATTTTCAATGATGGGTGACTCATTCACAGGCTAAATTCATCACAAACAGAAAAATATGGAATACAGGAAATGCTACCATTAATGACATTACAATCGTGCTATCATCTGGTTGAGAAAGAGCATAATGAAAATTTCAATGAGGGTACCAGCAGGCAGGAAAGTGTCATTAAGGAGGAAAAAAAAACAAGAATAGTCATTTTTTGAGATATATTCCCCTACCAAACACTGAATATAAAATTACTAAGAGGAAAAAAAAAAAAAAAGATCTGTCTACAAAATAACCCTGAATCATTATCTTTCCCAGAAGAGTCGTTTAAACTCCATATACTAAAAAAATAAGTAAATAAGTAAAAATAGGGGCGCCTGGATGGCGCAGTCGGTTAAGCGTCCGACTTCAGCCAGGTCACGATCTCGCGGTCCATGAGTTCGAGCCCCGCGTCAGGCTCTGGGCTGATGGCTCGGAGCCTGGAGCCTGTTTCCGATTCTGTGTCTCCCTCTCTCTCTGCCCCTCCCCCGTTCATGCTCTGTCTCTCTCTGTCCCAAAAATAAATAAACGTTGAAAAAAAAAATTTTTAAAAAATAAGTAAAAATAAACTTCATATACTACATGCATATGTGAGTTACACTAGAAAAAAAACAACGTGCCTTTTGCTGATTGTCTATTCCTATGGCAAATCATAGACAGCTCGATAATTCCAGGGAGTAAGCATTTGCTGAATCCTTTCTGAGTTTGGCTCCCAGCGAGCACCAAACACAAAAGAAGTACCTCCAAGACACAGTCTCCGCCTCCAAAGGACCTTACTGTGCAGTTAAGAAACCACATATTTACGAAACAAAAGCAGCTCTGAGCAGATGCTAAGCGGTCAGAGTCCAGCTAAGAGAGAAATCAATGTAGCCTGAAATATCTGGGGAAGTTTGGTTGAACATCCAGGGCTTCAGTTTTGATTTTACGAGAAGTACTCGGGAAAGCACAGGTGATAAAGGCAGGCAGGGGAATTTTGAAGTTTCTTCTCATTTATTTTTGAGAAAGATAGAGACAGTGAGAGCAGGGGAGGGGCAGAGAGAGGGGAAGAATCTCAAGCTCTACGCTGACGTGGGGCTCGAACTCACAAAACTGTGAGATCATGACCTGAGCTGAAATCAAGAAGCAGACGCTTAACTGACTAAACCACCCAGGCACCCCAGGAAAGGGCATTTTAGAAGGGTGAGACACAGCAGCAAAGACGAAGGGATAAAACAACACAACATCTACTCATTAGACAGAAAAGAGCTAAGCCTAAATAAAACTGGCCTATGTGAACTTTTTGGGAAACAGAGAAAAACCAGGTGAGGTAAGCAGTGACTGGTTAGGTAAGAGAAGACTCTGAAACGAACCATCAGGGAGGAAGCACAGAAGGGTGAACAGCTTGTACTATCCCCCACCCGGACATACACCCAAAACACAGGATTACAAAACAAAACAGAAAAAGTGACAGTGGGGGTTGACATACATATCTTAAATCTGAAAAGTTCTAATAGCTCCTGGCGCAAAAAACACACACTAGTTAAAAACAGAAGACAGGTCCCTAAGAGAAGAGAATGCTTTGTTGCCTCTGGCTCCCCAGCCAGGAGCGAAGGGATCTGGGCCTCTACCTTGAATTCTCTGGGGCTTGGTGGCATTCTCAAAGTCACAGATCTTCTTCCAATTAGCCTTCACCCCCTCGGGGGTCATGGGTTGATTCTTCTGTCTTACGATGGCTCCAAGGGACCGCTCCCAGCGTACTGAAACAAACGTACAGAAACGTACAGAAACAAAACAAAGAAGCTAAGCACAGAGTTTAGAAGGGACACAGGAAGTAAAACTCATCTAAGACCCTTGAATTTTTTTTAACCGCAAGAGAAAGGAATTCAGGGGGGACAAAATGAGTCTAATATCTGAAGAGTTATACTACATGACTTTAAAGAAGTTGTTCTTGAGATGACAATCCCATGAGGAAAAT